AGTATTGACTCAATGTGTGAAGGGAAGAACAATGTCACGTTTGAATCCTGCTGTATGCTCCAACATTCTATTGAAAATCAACTCAAAGCTGAATGGTATCAACCACACGTTTGCTTCAGTATCAAGGCCACCATGTTTGTTTCGCCCAGTTATGATAGTAGGAGCCGATGTGACCCATCCATCGCCGGATCAGATTAGCATCCCTTCAGTTGCTGCTGTAACTGCCAGTCATGATCAAAAGGTTTTCAAGTACAACATCCAGATTAGGTTACAACCTCCGAAGGTAGAGATCATTGAAGACCTGGAAAATATCATGAGACAGCAGCTTCTGTTCTTTTATAGACACACGTCTGCTTGCAAACCGGAGAGGATAATATTTTTTCGAGATGGTGTAGGTGACGGACAGTTTGCACAGGTTTTAAACAGCGAGGTGAATGCAATTCGACGTGCTTGTTTTTCTATGGGCCAAGAATATGAACCTAAAGTGACATTCCTGGTGGTGCAGAAACGTCACCACACCCGATTCTTTCCAAGAAGTGAGGATGCAGATGGGAGATATAAGAACGTTCCACCCGGTACAGTGGTTGATCGTGAAATTACTCACCCGACTGAAGTGGACTTTTATCTGGTTAGCCATTCCAGCATCCAGGGTGTTAGCAGACCTACCAAGTATCATCTATTGTGGAATGATGATGACAGTATGACAGAAAATGAAATTGAAAAGATTGCATACTACTTATGTCATATGTTCTCACGTTGTACACGCAGTGTGTCCTATCCAGCACCTACATATTATGCACATCTTGCTGCTAAGAGGGCTCGTGTGTACCTGGAGGGAGAGAACATTAAGCTGTCTAATCTACAAAGTCAGCAACATATATGTGCTGTCTTGAAAGAAATTGTTTCAGACCATCCCATGTTTTTTGTGTAAAACTTCAGCTGGCATAAGGAAATCATGTGCAATAGTTCCAAGAGTTGTCAGTTCAATAGTAGCCACTACCAAGAAACGACTAGTGACATGACTAGTAATGAAAGAATGAAAAACAGGAGACTTTGTGTGCCGTAGTTTTACTGTTCTGTAGTGTAAATCAGTGACGATGTAATAGTTATTTGTACTTAGGAGTTATAAGCATTTAATAAATTCAGTTATTAATCCAAACACAGTATCTAGTCACTATACTATGACAATCTCTTTTAAGAATTATGGTTTCAGTGTTTTGAAGTCTAGATTATCATGCAGTTGTGCAAATTGCTCTTGGAAATTGCCAAAACAAAAATTCTTCGTTTGAGTCCCGCAAGACTGTTTCACGACTTGGGGAGACGTGCAGCCTAACTCTGAGGACTATACTGCTATCAAAGTCAAAGTTACTTCATGACTGGCGGTTTACAGCCAGTCAGTTCGTTTTGTCACCAAACCCCTTGAGACTCACAACCAGAGATATTGAACCTTTGCAGTTATAGTCCTCATATAACATCCTTTTTCCTGAGAGGATGGGCATGTCTCTTATGAACATGCTTGGCCTTTCGTCACGTGTGCATATCGCACATGTAGCATGTCATTGAAAATTCTTCCTTTTGCATTACACACAAGTCCTCTGTGAGTCCAGGCTTTGCAAAACAGCACATGCCTATCCTACATCAACGGTCATAAGCTTGACCACCGCCAAGTTAAGCCTCTTATATTTTCTGTCTGGTTTCTCCATGTCCTATGCTGTGACCATGTTCATTCTCACGATTTTGTATGACTTCGTCATGTTACCTGAACAATTTTGTTATACAATAATATAGCGCACACATAAGATTGAAAACTGTGTGCAAATCACAGAATGGTGTGCAGCTTGGAAAATTTCCAATAGCATGGGAAACCTTGTTTTGTAGGAGCTGTTAATTCAAGAGGTTGGTGTGAGCCGCTAATTCCCAGCCGGGGTAAGCTGAAGTCTTTATTCATCCGATCAGTACCTTATGGAGGTTTAGTTTAATGCTGGTGATTAAACACTCGCTTTTGAATAGGAAGTCGATTCTATTAAATGTTCGGAAGGCCTTGGCTTCAATCATTTCTATGTGCAGTCTTCCTGTAAACCTCTTATCATAGATTACATGGAAATATTTCACACGATTGGCGAAGGGGGGGTGTTCTGTCCATTTGATGAAAGATAAGCCTCAGGGAATGTAAGTACATGAGAAAAGTAGACGGCCTGTGTCTTATGATCATTGGTTTCTATGTTCCAGAGCTGACACCTTGTCTCAGTAGCACTGAAACCTTGCTGCATCTTTCTGAGACCATAACACTCCCTGCAGTCAGTCATATATATTCTGGTGTCACCAGCAAAGAGACTTAGAGAGACACCAGGTGTTCGAGGTGTATCATTTATAAATATGCTGTACAATGTGGGGGACAGGGTGGAACCTTGTGGCACCCCTGCTTGTATATCCCTTGACGCAGACATTTCATCTTCAAAATTCTGAATCTCCTCTGAGAAAGAAGAGAGCTAATAAGCTTGATTAGGCTGATCAAAACTTTTAATCCCGCCAATTTACATAGCAAGCCAAGGTGTCATGTTGTATCAAAGGCTTTCTCAATATCGAAGAATACTGTAGCTGTAGACGTGTTGTTGATCAAATTTAACCTTTAACGTCCAGAGTGCCGTTTTTGCCAGTAATGAGTATAGTCCTCGTGGCCAAAGTACCCTGTTTTGGCCAGTTGAACATTTAAACTCCGCTAGTCGAAGCGCGCGTACACGCCGCTAGTAGAATCGCACACATAGTCCTAAATATTTATTTTTATATGTAGTAATTACCAGACAGACTTGAGGAAACCCCTAATAGAGGAATTAAAATGATACTTAAGTGAACAGCAAAAAAGAATATACATATGAGTTATGCCCAAACTCATCCAGGAGCCAGTACTTTTATTGCAGATTCTGCAGATTAATGTATTAAAAACATATAGTAAAATTCGATATACATACTTTTATTGTTGTTATCTGCTTGACGTATATATAGGTTGAAATGAAACTACAGTATTCAATGTCACTATGAATGCCCAGAAAACAGATCAAACTCTGTATCTAAGCCACAATACAACTGTCTGTTAACGACCATAGATAGGGCAATAATCTCTTGCATCTGTAACGGAAGGTCTTAGCACTGAAGAAGGGACCCCTCTAGCTCTTTTTCTTGAATAGCTTTTCTTTCATTCTTCTGTCTTTTAGTCAAAAGTTTCAAAAATCTGAAGGGTGTAACAAGATGTAAGTTTCCCCAGCAGAGAACCAAATGATTTTATTGCTTCCATCAGTTTTATGATACGAGGGTCTGCTAAAATTTGTCAAGTGTTACCAACAGAAATTAAGTTGTAATGCAGAACAGCTCTGTGAAGAACTGGAAAAATATTTTTGCAGTACGTATCAAAATTAAAAGAAAAAATTGAAGAAAAAAAAAGTATAATTCTTTTTACAAACATTTTCAAATCTTACGTTATGAAATACGATACTATGTTCTTTGCTGATACAAACAAAGTTAATTCCATTCATTTATCATAAAAATTATGTTAGATACAGCATTTAAAAAAATACAATGCTTAAAATTGTTTAAGTGCTCTAACAGGAACGGACATTTAAACGCGCACCAGCAGCGGGCGTTTAAATAAACTCCGGCCAGCTCAAGCTTACTACCATTTCAAAACTCCGGCGTTTAAAGGTTAAGGTCCAGTGACTGTAAGGAAAATGGAATGGACCCATGTTCACCTATGGACTTTTCATCTAAGGCTTGATTTAGGTGCAGTTTGACATGAATAAGGAAATGTGCATGAACCACATGTGATATTGTATTCACAGAGGCACATCTTCCATGAGCTCTGGTAGAACATTTACAAAATATGATGGTATGCTGCTTGTATAAGTTTACATGGCGAAACATGGTGCTATTGAGCCAGTCCCACATGATACCTGCCCACACATTAATAAACAAGAAGTTCTGGGAAGAACTAATTGCCTATTTTCCTCTCACATGACACACACCACACGGAAAACAATGCATCCAACAATTCTTCTATTGCCATGCGTGTACTCCTTGCCATGGTAACATTTTTACTGAGCCACTGCTTAGCAATGATAGGGGTATGCATGCACAGAGTGATGGGAAGAGGCTATTAAATATGCTGTTATGATAGGTGACATGTGGTTAAGGCACTATGCTACAAGTTGGAAGGTCGCGGGTTCAAATACTGATGAGGTCATTGGATTTTTTCAGTTGACCTAATCCTTCTGGCCGCACTATGGCCCTGGGGTTCACTCAACCTCTAACAGAAATGAGTACCAGGAATTAAATAAATAATTTTCCTGGGGAGTGAAGCATGGCCGGCGCGTAAGGCTGACAACCTTACCGCCACCTTTGAGCCGATTGTCTAGACAATGTGGGACCCTCAACGTCTCACAACCCTATGTGCCTTCACGGCCTGTTACAGGGATAGCTTTACTTTTACTTTATGATAGGTGTCATGACATGCACACCAAGTTGCATAAAGATTGGTTCAGTTAACAGGGGGGATACACAGACAGACAAGAGCATATAAGCCTACTTTAGGATAAGAGGCTAAAAATCGACATTGATGCCTTAACTGCAGGGACTTCACATCTGCCCACACATGGGCATTATGGACAATGGTAAAACTATATCATGCAAATTTTGTTTCATTGGTAATTTGGTGAAAATCTTAAGTGGGTACATGAAATATTTTGTGTTATATAAAAGTAAAAAAATGAAAGTAAAGGCATCCCTGTAACAGGCCATGGAGGCTCACAGGGTTGTGAGATGTTGAGGTTCCTACATTTTCTAGACAACTGACTCATAGATGGTGGTAAGGTTGTCAGTCTTACACGCCAGGCGCCTTTTACTCTCAAGAATATTCCAAAATATTCCTGGTACTCATTTCAGTTAGAGGCTGAGTCAACCCCAGGGCCATAGTGAGGCTGGAGGAATTAGGTAAATTGAAAAAATCCACCTCACTGCAGTGTTATATAAAAAGTATCATAATTATCTTTAACTTAAATTCTTGAAATTGGCATGGGGTACCAAAGAAACAAACATACAGTTCGCATTTGCAGTGGAGGTATACGTCACAAGCACTGCAGCACACTGAGGAGAATAATTACTTGTGCTCTTTTCAAACACTGGCTAATCAGAAACTTCTGAGTCACAGAAACTGACTATATATTCTCTTCAATCCTTTAAATTAAACTGTTCTTTTACACTCCTGCAATTTTTATACTAAGAAACTGTCACAGTGTATTTATTTTCAAGAACTGCTAGGTTTAAGAAGCCATTTGTTGGTTTAATGGGTTTTCTGGAGATCGCATCCACTCTTTACGCAGAATCTGCTTCAGTTGAGATATTCTTAAGGTTGGGTTTTCTGACTTGATTCGAGGCAAATTTGCTTCTTCAAATGCTGTAAATGCGGCCTTCAACCTTTTCTCTGGATGCCGATCAATTTCTGCCTCCTTAAAGCTGTAACATAAGGAAAAGCCAGAGTTATGAATGCATGAGGGGTAGGCCTCCTCGGCCCTTGTACCGCGACTTACAGTGATCTTTTGTGCTTAAGCCATAGTTAGGTCCATTATGTGATTCAGAATGGTAGGGGCTGGAGGAGATGCAAATGATTATCTAGGTGTAAAGTATTTTCCTGCTTGTTTTAAAGTCAAAGCTATGCTAAGATGTACTTTTATGGCTATAACCTCACTTTATTATTCTGAGTGAATGGAATAGTATACAATGGCTCCTACCACCTTAGAAGTAGATGGATTTCATCATTATTGCTACAAAGTATAGCTGAGATGGCAATTCAGAGAAAAGAGAGAGACTTAAGGAATAAGAACATTTCACACAAGTCAGATAGCTAACATGCAGTAAGCACACTGAAAAAGATTTCTTTAAAGGTGTTTATTGCCTCAGATATTTATATTGATTGGTATTGATTATATATAATATTCAGTACCTTTGTCTATACTATGTGGTACGGAAAACACAAAACTTTTTCCAGTCATGGCACTGACATAATCACAAAACAGAGCTATGATAATTACCTCAGGGTTATATGAGTGGTGAATATAATGGGTTTACCATGTAACTTATACAGCCTTTCATTTCTGATCTGGTAGGTAGGTGACCATATCCTATTATGTGGTGTAGAAGCGATCTATGTGCAACACTATTTTGTCCCTTGGCAACAGTTTAACCTTCAGTGTATGGAATCTAATTTTGCTTGTACATATTCAAGGCCAGCTAAGAAGGGAACACACATCACAAGACATGATTTACACATAATATATGAAAAACGACCCCCATAGTGGAAGAACCACATGCAAGTTTTAATTAAGACACATAAGATGAATAATCTTAACAAGTTTTAGTGTGTGTAAATTTATTACAGTTGACAAATATGCACTTTTTAAATACTTTTATAAAGACATATAAAGGCAAGCAATGAAATAGATTAGCGTAATTAGGGCATCTGATGATGGCACTATGTTGCCGAAACATGTCATGAAGTAACAGGTGAAATTGAGTGCACTACAAGACTACAAGACATGGATGAAAATCAGTGCAACAGGACGCTAAAATACAACATTCTACTAAATGAATGACAAATAGAATGATAGCAGGTATAAATGAAAACCTAATAAAAAACTCTGTACTTATATTACTGTCATTGTTAGCGACTAGACATGAGGTTTGAAATGATAGCTGGATTTATTGAAAGCTTATAAATTGTAACTAGAAATAATTAAACGTCTTCACTAATCTACATACTCTTAACAAATCACCATCGCAAATACTACGTCTCCTATGTCCTACTACTCGTTACTTGGTAGCGGCGTCTAACAATGGAACTCAAGACGGACTAACTGCAGACTCTGACCTCAGACCTCTGACTGTTGGTTGGATAAACAGCTGCTGGCCCTCACCAACACAGTCATTCTCAATTCTGAGCCCTGTTCGACTCATGACCATATTTTACTGTCTTGTGACTGTTGAATCCATTGGTCCTTGCTATATAGCCTCAGCATGGGCCAAATATAAAACATTGCTTCTATGGGCCCTCTGTTATGGCGTGTGTATTCGTTCCCACAGACACATGTTCATCATGCCATTACATAGTAATGGCCACCTCATCTCATTAAACTGTTCCACCTTTCAGCTTTCATATCACAATATTGTGAAGTAAAATAAATAAACATATATCCAAGCAAACAAATTTTAAAATGGGACTACTGAAATTAGTCAGCCAGTACCTTAGCACTGCTATTGCTTCTTCTATAGATCGTGCCTCTTCCCCTACTACTTGAAGCCTGTTAACATTCTCCTCCAGTGGTTTCTCAATGTGAGTCACAGGCTCCTTCACCTTTGTAGTAGCCAGTTTTCGTTTTTCTGTCTCTGCCTGAAAACCCATAAGTATTTAGCATTTAAAATACTGTTTACCATCTGTTGCTTCATGTGGCCAAATGTTGTGTGTGGAGGCTTGGGTGAAAATTATCTCTGTCCAAAAACATCCATTACAATAGGACCATGTCCAACCCACTGCTAAACATGAAAAATAGCATTCTACATTATATGGCATGCACTGAACAGGCTCATGTGACAGAAGGAACATTATTGTACAATGAACTCTTCCCGTAGAATAAACAACTATTCAATTCACATGCGAGTATTGTTAGATGACCTCTATCCCAAATGGTGAAAAGTCAAAACTATATACCAAATGCATAACTATTAATATTAAGGCTTCAGTGTTTATTGTTATTGCACTAAATGAAAATTAAACTTATATAAGGTAATGGTAAAGTTATCCACGTACTCAATTAAATAAGCACTCTGTCATGAAGAGACATGAGGAGTGGAAGAACAGCTTCACCATTCTTAACCTCAGCATTAGATGGGGGTAAGTGATACAGTCTGGTCATTATACTGACCGAGGTATCCTGGCTTCCAAATTATTTACTATGTGCCTCAAGGTCACATTAATGAAGCACTACATTATGAATAAAACAAACATGATATTACCACACTCAAAACTCATTAAAGACTTTTTCTTATTGTGATTCTGTTCATTTACCATGTTTAACATGAATATGCAAGTTCAGAAGTGTACCTGTAACATCAATTTTGTTTAATTACCTCAAAAAGACTTAAGACATAAAATATTCTTCATTTTTCTATACAACTTCTATTTGAAATATTTTTTCTCTGATAAATATTTAGAATGATATGTGCAGAATTGAACATAGGTATTCACATAGACTGACCATTAAAATGTCTGATCTAAATTAAAAATTAGCTGAATCAAAAAATTTTTGCAAAATTCTCCACTATCATATTTCATGGAAATCCATCTGGCAGTTCAGAGTTGTTTCATGTGCACAGTTAAACAGATGAACTGAGCAAACTCGACAGGTGCTCTCCACTGTGTGAACAAACCTACAAAGGCAAACATTTACAGTCTGATGAAATAATTCATATCTGAAACTGTACAAAATATCAGTTAAACCTGTGGTAACATGTGAAACAGGGACTTTAAGTGACCAAGACAAAAGGAGAATACACAGAAATGGAAATGAAAACATTTTTAAGATCCTTTACTGGATATGCAGGGCATGCGGTAGTGTAGTTGGTTGATACACTATGCTACAAGCCGGAAGGTTGTAGGTTCAAGTCCTGATGAGGTCATTGGATTTCTTTCAATTGACCTAATCCTTCCAGGCGTACTATGACCCTGGGGTCGACTCAGCCTCTAACAGAAATTAGAATATTCTTGGGGGTAAAGAGCAGCTGGCACATATAGCTGACAACCTTGCCACCATCTATGAGCCGATTGTCTAGAAAATGTGGGAACCTCAACATCTCACAACCTATGGGCCTCCACAGCCTGTTACAGGGATACCTTTACTTTTTACTTTTTTTACTGGATATGCATACATGTCTGGACAAAAAGAGAAATACTGATATACAAGGATAACAATAGATGGGAAGACCATCTAGTCATAATGGGCTAAGAAGGTTGTTGAAGATAACAGTTACAAACCTATTGAGCAGTGAATAAGACAATGACCAAGGAAATGTTGGAAAGAGGATTTTTGGGGACAGTTCAGTAGCCTTTACACAAAAATAATAAGAATAGTTGTCCAGTATAATTATAAAGCTTACTTTACTTTTTGGTCAACAGTGAAACTCTTCTTTATACAGGGTGTCCCAGGAGGAATGTGCCAAACTTCGGGAGGGTGTTCCTTATGTTAAAGTATGCCGATATAACCCAAAACACCTATGTCCAAAGTTGAACGGTTACGGAGATAATGGCCCGAGAAAAGTGTGGTCTTCTAGCGGGTCCACGGATTATACCTATCAGCTGAGAGGAATTATCTCTGTTTGTCCTTGACTGCCGTGATTCATCCTATCCGTGCTTATGGAGTTGGCTTTATCAGAACGCGCAGTCAGCACGTTACGTCATCGCTTACCATTCATGTGTCATGTACAGTGCTTGGAACTCTTAACGACAACTTTGAGATGGCATGCGAGTTTTTTGTACTTCAATTTTATGGCTTCATGTCACTCACAAGTTAGTTTGATGTTACGTACATTATTAACGTTACAGAATCCACATATTCCTGCCAGTTTTAATATCTATTTTGTAATCAACAAGTGTGTAACCCCGGTCAAAGTTTGACACTTCTCTGGCCATTATCTCCGTAACCGTTCAACTTTGGACATAGGTGTTTTGGGTTATATCGGCATACTTTAACATAAGGAACACCCTCCCGAAGTTTGGCACATTCCTCCTGGGACACCCTGTACACTCAACTCTTGATTATCCGGGGGCGGATAAACCGGTTTGCGGTTTAACCGGGGCTTTTTTGAGGCTTATATGTTGTTTAATATTCATTCACTTTTGTTTCACTAACACTGTTTTCGTACTAGTGTGAACTGAACTCTGCATTTTTTGGTTCCGTTATGCTCACACAATGTTCTAGGGTAGGGGTGAAAGAATGCAAGGATTTGTGGAAAGTTTCAAGGACAGATACACCGCCCCAATTAGTCTCTTTGTATCGATCTTCAAGTGTGTTAGCAAAATGTCAGGGTGTAGAAGGAAGCGTGTTGTGTTAAGTATTCAACAGAAACTCGTGTGAGCCGGGCTTCAAAATGTTAAGCAGTGATGAAATCGTAAGTTCAGTGGGGGTGCAGCCAGAAGAGCGGGAAGAAAGTGAGAATGAGGAAGAGGTGGACAATGCTGCTAGTAAGAAAATATCACATGTTGCTGCTCTTAATCATTTGGAATCCTTACTAGGCTATCTTGAGAGTGAAGAGAACAGTTTATTAAATGACAAGCTAATATTACGTAGGCTTTATATGGATATCCGTAAAAAGGAAAATGCTGCGAAAAAGCAAATGACAATATTAAATTTTTTAAAGTGTTAAGTGTGAATATTCGTAAAAAGTGTTGGAGGTTGTTGGAACACTGTGATTGAAATAACTAATTCATACTTCAGTGTAATGTAAAAAAAAGTATTAAATAGGGCATGAGATGACATAAAAATGAGGTTGAATAAATTTAAATACAGGTAGGCCTACAGTATTATGAAGGTACAGTATTACAGTACTGCTTTTAATAAAATTTGTTTTAACCAGGTTTTTGATTAATCGTGATTTCCATCCCCACCATTATCCTGGATAATCGAGAGTTGAGTGTATATATTACCTGTATCTGAGCCTGTGTAATTTTAGCAAGTGGCTGTTTTCCAGACGTCTGTATGGATTTCAGTTCTTGCTCAAGCAATGCTTTTGACTCAGCCTTTTTCTCAAGTACCTCTTGTTTCTTCTTAGCTTGCTCTTCCTAAAGGAATGTGTAAAAGACAGTACTTACACCATAAATATAGTTACATCACTGGAAAATGCGAGAATAAAAATATATTAAATATAAAGAAACTTCCTGATATTATTAATAAATAAATTGTGTTATTAGGAAGAAACAGATAATTGTTACAATGTAAACTCCTCTTCTGTCTTCAAACGAAGTATCTTGCAAACAGGCTGCTAAAACAGCCAACTTAATATTCAGTGACATGTCACACAGTGAGTTATCTGCAAATACTTCAAATTCATGAGATTAAATGAAAATATGCTACAGTTTTCATCCAGACATTCTACTAGAGCTAAGAACATGAGGGCATAAGTGATTTTCAAAGACAATTTTTAGCGAAATGTATAGTAAAGGAAGTGCACTTTTCTGGATGACAAAAATAAGATCTGAAGATGAAAGGACCAAAATTTGACAGCAAAATAGTATCGCACTTCATTTCCAAATCTGCAACCTGGAAACAGAAGGCATGTGAGTGGCTTGAGCTGAGGCGTTGTCCTAATTATGTGTTTACCGTAATCTGTTTCTTCTACATGAGTGGAAAGAGTGGACAGAAGCCTTTGTTCACAAAAAATTATTTCTTTAACTGTTGTTAACAGGTACATGTTTCCTGTCAACATGCTAACAAATTCTCTTTCCAAGGCAAAACATGGTTGATCCAGACCACTGTGTAAAGGCAAGAAGCATGTAGGCTGGAAACATCAGTTTTTTCTACGTGTGTCAGATAAGCACAACTACGACTGTTGACCATAACCAGTGTGGATGTTTGGTGCTCCTCAGATCTTGCATGTTTAAAAGGCTGCCTTGTTGATACTAATGACAACAGGAACTTAGATATTACAAAGGTGGGGCTGGCTCTAGTGAGATGATATTCTGCATGATGTACGTACCATGTTTCACAAAACCCCATCAACTGGTCCAGAAGTTATGGATAGGTTTGATATACACATAGTAATATCACAAGCCTGTTTTTCTATATAAAATAAGAAACTTGGGCTATAAATCAGTCTGACACCAAAACTGTAACCACTGTAAAACTTGGTGCTGAAGATACTCATTACAACAGCTTGCAATACACAGTCTTAGTCTTAACTTTAGTCTTAAAAATATTAATAACTGACAGGTTATGTGTTATTAAGTTTGTGTATGAAAATATACAAAATTTCATTGAAGTGTCTTAGTTGACAGCAATAATGATTACAGGCCATGAACACATCAAACATCCCCAAATGGCTTTAAATGCCATTATATGCATAAAGAACACCTATATGTTGGGAAATGAACATCTATACAGTGGAACCTCGCTTAACGAGCATAACATTCCAGAATCTTACTCGTAATGCAAAACACTCGTTAAGTGAAACAATTTTTCACATATAAATTAATGTAAAATACGATAATGTGTTCCATGCCGAAAAAACACTCAAAAAATTTTATGTATAACGTTTATTCAAAGAAAATTATATATACATTGTTAAGGAGCGTGAATCATCATCTTTTCTTCCATGCGGAATGAACTAACCTGGAATGCGAATTTGATTTGCAGAAAAGAAAAAATAAATCTTAATAATTAGTTTATTATTTATGATACATATGTAATTCCTTTTTACTAGAAAGCTGTCTAGAGACATTTGTTTTTGCCGATGCTTCAAAATTTGGTGAAAATGTGACACAGCATTACCATTAAATAAATTTGTAGCGTGCATAGCCACTGCCTTATTAGGGTGATGCTTCTCAATGTACAATGCAACAGTTTCCCATGCTTTCAGCATTTCTCTTATTGCGCCAGAAGATTGTTGCTTTGCTGTTACCTCCTCCTCCTCCTCCTCTGACAAACTCTCCTCCACAACTCCTTGATGTGAAACACAATGCAACTCCAAATTGTGCAAATCGTTGATGTAGACCAATTGTATGTGCGTGCTAGATCAGCCACGCTCACACCTTGTTGTAGCTTTTCAATGATTTTACATTTCACTTCTACGGTTATTTTTATTCTCTTATGGTTGTCTTTTTGCGGCTTTTTCTTCGAGGAAATTTTTGCAAGGGTTATTAAACTTTGCACAAAAAAATCACAAATAATATGTCTGAACACAAGTTTGGAAAAATGTGTGATCACAAGCGACACCAAGATGCTAGTGGAACGAGTACTAAACATAGACGGATGTAGTAAGTGCACAACCCGCAACTTGCCCTCTCGTCACTCATTATGCGAAACGTTGCTCGTTAAGCAAGTCATTTTTTTACAATTTGTTTTGCTCGTTATGTGAATTACTTGTTATGAGAGGTGCTCGTTAAGCAAGGTTCCACTGTAATCTGAAAACAGCAGTGCCCAAAAGCCAAGTACTACTGGTAGCCATTACACCTTTAAATGCAAACATACTTTCCTCTGCTGTTTTCTGGCTGCATGCTTGTCATCATCTCTCCAATATTCATCTTCAAGTTGCTGCTGCCGCCGAGTACTTTCAATTTCTTTAGCAGCTGATTTACGGGCACGAGCAGCTGCTGATTTACTGTTCTCACCCACAAATTTTTTGGGCATGGCATAAACCTGTTAAGGGAATATGAGCACAATAAACTGCAAATTAGTAATTCCCACAAACTGGAAATTTTCCAAACACATAAACATGCCATGTCTCCTAGCATTCTATTTCTATATACACCAAAATGAAATTGAGAAGTTTGTGTCAAATACAGGATAAGCTATTTCTGGGAATGGTGGCATAGTTGGTTGAGGCACTATGCTACAAGCCGAAGGTTATGGGGTCGAATCCTGATGAGGTGGATTTTTTTCAATTTACCTAATCCTTCCAGCGACACTATGGCCCTGGGGTCGACTCAGCCTCTAACAGAAATGAGTACCAGGAATATTTGTGGGGGGTAAAGGGTGGCTGACAACCTTACCGCCATCTATGAGCCGACTGTCTAGAAAATTTGGGAACCTCAACATCTCTCAACCCATCTCAGGCCTCCATGGCCTGTTAAAGGGATACCTTTACTTTACAATTATAAGTTCAGTCCTTTAATACTTAGAATTATGTACATACGTTTTCGTGTAAGTGTGCTGTAACTGTATATAAGAGACAAACTCCGTCTTAAGTGCAACAATTTAATTGTAGTTCTTTCTTCTTCCCTTCCTCCACACTACATGTTTCGGCCCTAAATGGCCATCATCAGGTGTGTATTCTTATGTAGCTGCTACACTGCCCGTAGTTTAAAATTTAAAATCACCAGTCTTTCCAATTGTATGTATGTATTATATCTCTGTTAACCTACACGCATCAATTTGATTTCTAAAATTGGCACTTTTTTAAAACTTCAATTCAAATTAAAATGTCTATAAATTTTCTGTTCTTTTTCTTTTTCCAAATTTTTAAAAATTTGAATTGAAGTTTTGAAAAACTGCCAATTTTAGAAATCAAATTGACGTGTGTTGGTTAACAAAGATTTTATACATACATACAATTGGAAAGACTGGTGATTTTAAATTTTAAACTACGGGCAGTGTAGCAGCTACGTAAGAATACACACCTGATGATGGCCATTTAGGGCCGAAACATGTAGTGTGGAGGAAGGGAAGAAGAAAGAACTACAATTAAATTGTTGCACTTAAGACGGAGTTTGTCTCATATATATTGTGTGAGTGTAACAGGATGCTTAAATATAATAGTGCTGTAACTGTATGAAGTTGGCTGCGCCATAGCTCAAGAGGTTACATGCTGGCTTCCCACAATTGCGGCCCGGATTCAATCCCAGGTCTGGTCAAGTGGAATTTGTGGTGGACAAAGTGGCGCTGAGGTAGGATTTCTCTGAGTTCTTTGGCTTCCTCTGCCAGTCTTCATTCCACCAAATTCTCCATCATCATAATCAGCTGGGGAAGGTACATTAGGCCAATCAGTGGCCGCCATGCTGAGTGGACCCAACTGGACTCCACCCCCACTATGCAAATTTTTAATTTTAAACTGTTTAGGATTAAATTATTTGGCTTTATGACTTTGAGTAACTTACACTAAATGCTTGAGTGGAGTAACATGGCGTCACTTGTGACACAACAGCCTGGTGGTTTTTGTGCCAAAGAAGGTTCTGACATGAGACATTCTCATAAGCCAACACATGAGGGTTGAGCAGAGTCTGCAGTAAACAGATACTGTGTACATCTCATAGGAGAAGGATATGTTTATTGCAGCTCCACATATGCATATTTTACAGTTTCTTTTACTTCAAGTTCAAATTTAAAGTTATCCAACAGATCTGCCTCTAAATTGCTAACTAAAGCAACTTTACTCGTACATCATACACACAGCCACAACTGAATGAGTGAAGCATAACTGAATTGTCTTACAAATCTGAAAATAGTTACTGAATTAATGACGAAACATGTGCCTTTTGCTATGATTTCTACATTTCATCTCCCTTTGAAGCAATGCATCAAAAGGAATCTTAATCTTCTGCCACCCTGGGCTACCCGTATATCAAACCCACATCTTACGTAATTAGTGGCATACTTGTTATAGCCCAAATAAGTCTGGGTCAGTTGTAATGCTCCATGCAGGACAAGGGTAGTGTTAGCTGTGTGTTAATGGCCAGCAATGTATGGTTTGTTTAGTTCCTTAGTTCTCAAACTAAACAGTGAATGTTTTCTTACTTTTAAACGACACATCTTCATTTTGTAGATGTGTTCCTTGTGATTGGGGATGAATTTTTGTATTACTACTTAAATGAGTTTTGACTGTTACACTGATGCTAGTTAAGAGGCCAAAGGGGAATGTATAGTGCAAACATCCCTTCACTAGAAAACTATGTTATATTAAATTATCTGCTTGCATGGATCCAAACTGAAATATTCAACACAAGAAAGTTGATTCTGATATAATTTACTTGGGGTGTAATCAAATTGCAGCTCCTGGCAGCCTTCTCTTATGTTGTTTTGTAGTAACATTTTCATCCTTTTGCAGTATTACTGATGTCTGTAATAGCTCATGCCAGTATGAGATCAGACACCAAAGGTGGGACAGAGAGAAAGACACCGACAGACAGATAAGTTCCAATTCTGGCTGTAGAGCATATAATCCAATTAAATACATTTCAAATTCACGAACAAATATGTTTGACTGCCTGCAATGTTGGGTGTATGTTCAACAGTTTATGTCAGTTGAAAGGTCCAGTGCATCTTAGTTTCCGCCCCTTTCCGAGCTGATCCAGAGGGCCAAGATACTATTACATTACAAATGGAGTACTGTAGTTTTTAACCTTCAACTTACAAACTTACAAGATTTTTCCAATTAGCAATACAGTTCCTTCAGTCTGCAAAGGTTCTAAGGAAACTGTTTAACTTTTGCACCCTTTCAGAATGAAGCAGGCCCACTCCTAAATCAGGAGTTGAAATTGGGAAATGTCTTCAGACATCCATCTAGACCTTAAAAAGGTTTAATTTATTGGCGCATTCATATTCTCTCCCCCAAAAGCATGCTAGACAAGGCGCTCAAATCCCAAACGTAGCTGCTCTCAGCTGTCGCGATAAGTCACTGAATTATCATGGCTGATAATTTAAATTGTTCAGTCATTCTAATGACGTTCCGTGGTCATTAGTGTTAATAGTATCAATTTTAAATAACCACAGACCTCTAAACATAGCTGAAAGCATAAGAACAGAACGGATTCGGCATATGATACACAGCAACCCATTCTCTACTTCAACGTTGAGGTTAAGTCAGGATGAAACAGTATTTTGAAACATATGCTATATACCAAACGTTTGGCATTTTGAAGCATTACTTACGAACCTGACTCGGAGAGCCAAACGAAATGCCTAGAATTAACCACACAACATACTCAGAAAATGACAATAATTATCATTATACGTTTATGCTCATCGTCTTGTGCTTTGCAACCTACTTTCGATTTGAACCGAACAAATATACAACGTCCTTCGATCACCGATCACCTAGTAACCATGGAGTATGGTGTCGACATCTAGTGGCATATGGAGATTTATAGAATTCCCAAAGATATTTCATGGCAGTCGCGAGAGAAAAAAATCAATTTTACTGGATCCAGGGGTACTGTGGAGTTGCAGTTAATAAGATGATGGTAACAATTTCCTTCGACACGTCGGTCGACTTTCAGCCGACCACACGGTGTATTGCCTTTAAAGTGGAACTCTTGCCGACGCCGGACAAGGAACGGTTTAAGAAACAGCCATTGATGGCCATTGATGGCAGTGAAACAGACTGTACCGTGTCTCCTGTCAGTAGTATGGAGTTGTATATCGCCGTAGGTGACTAATCTGTGCCAATGAGTAATGGACGAAATGGAGTTAACATGGCGGTATGGTGATTAAAAGTATTGAATCGTTTTAAAATTTATGTGTCAAAATTACCTGTAAAACAATGGTGAGTGCTATTGTAGAAATATTAGGCACAGTTTGGTATAGAATATACTGTCAAGTCATTTATTTATAGTGTGAAATACTGTCAAGTCATTTATTGTAACTTGACGTAAGGCTTTCGCCGTTCAACTTGCAGAGATGTAAAAATTGCATTTTGAAGGAATTGTTATTTTATAACCGAAAAACCTTATAATTTACTAAGGTAAGGTTATGTTGTACTCTTCACCAGTTATAGACTGCTAAGCCAAAGAGGAAGAGATTGGCAGAGCATGTAGCACTGGTGGAGAGAGGAATGCATGTACGTTTTTGGTGGGAAAGCCAGAAGGACAGAGAGACCATTAGGAAGACCTACACGTAGGTGGGAGAATAATATTAAACTGGATCTTGGAGAACTAGGATGAGGTGTTGTATACTGGATTGATGTGGCTCAGGATAGGGACCAGTGGATGGCTCTTGTGAATGCAATAATGAACCTCCAGGTTCCATAAATTTTTGGAAAATTGTTGAGTAACTGAGTGACTGGTTGGTTTTATGCCTTCTGAAGATGGTCAGCTGACCGAAACATGTAAAGGAAATAAGTACCTACTAATTGAGCCACACTGAATGGTGTCAAACAATTATTCTATAATTTAATAACAGTATTGCTTCACTTCATTCTATCATTGAATGTAGCAGTATACTCAGCTTCATATTTGAGAGGCCCCTGGATTGAGTGAGAGGCTGTAGATTGCATGATTCATCATTCATAAATATATTATCATCTGACACTGAATAACCTATGTAGTTGATGCAGGTCATTAAGCAAAGGAACAGTTATAGCCCTTAGATTTTCATGGCTGGAGCTTCTGTTTGACTTTAGCTTTTGGGACTGGGTTATGTATATATGTATTTTTTATGAGGCCGTGCCAGAACTCAAGTGGTTAGTCTCTGGCTTCCCACTGTGGCAGCCCGGGTTCGATCCCGGGTCAGGTCAAGTGGGATTTGTGGTGGACAAAGTGACACTGGGTCAGGTTTTCTCCAAGTACTTCAGTTTTCCCTGCCAATCTTCATTCAACCAATTGCTCACCAGTCACTGTCGCCTATCATCTGTGGCTGATACAGTAGGCCAGAAGTGGCTGCAGTACAAGGGACTTAGTCCCACCCCACTAGTGATACAAAAAAATGAATGTATGTATGTGTGGATGTGTCAGATGTTGAGGGTTTTCCAACGTTTCAGCAAACCTTGCAGTTGCTATCTTCAGGGTTAATGACTTTGGGAGGGGTTTTGGTGGCTCTTATGTAGCTATTGCATCAGGCAGTTTGTCACAGTTGCAAGTGTGATTTCATGAACAGAGGAAATGATGCTAACCAGTTTGTAACAGTCCAAACCTTTTAATACTCTTTAATGGACGCTATGTTCCTCTTTAGCCATTTCAATAGAGTGACTGATTTATTAGGGAGACCCATCCATTAAGAAGTTATGACTTGCTTTTCGCATTTAGACAGGAACAACTGCCTTGTTTTGTTACCTGCAGCTTGGGTGACGCTAAAGGGACATGGCCCATTATGAAAAGACATGTCTGTAGTTCGCCGAACATCTAAATGTTGTTTTGCTAATAGGGTAGCTGTTATAAAGGTGTCTTCGGAAGGGTGTAATTAGACCCTAAACTAAGAAATAACTGCTTTCACATGTAGGGTTCCGGGTTCAATATCTTTGGATCTCTTTATTCTCAAAGTTAGTAATGTGATTGTCAAGTGCTGATGGTATGATGAATTGTCAGTTAAAATCAGCCATTAGGAAACTATTCTTGCCTGGGAGAAAGGCCGTCGGTTCAGATCCTATACAGTGGATGAGGTGACACTCCCGCAGAATAGAGTGGGCAGAAGGACTTGGCATTTTGAATTCACCAGAGGCAGACGTATTGAGCTGCACTCTCCAAGTATATCTAAATTTATCCATCTTTATTTGGTTCGATTAATCTTTGATAATAATAAAAGGGCACATTACTCCGTACTTGCTAATAAAGATATAGTGTTTGCTTCTGAAATAAACAATTTGTGATTAAGCAGAAAATAGTGTCTTTGATTTGTATCAGTGGACTAGCTTTAAATGTGTAGTCTCCTCGTTGCCCCAGTTATAACCATGACACAACCCTGAGAAGAGTCAAGTGTTCTACCGAAGCGGGCAAATAAAAGGGTCAAGTGTTCTACCAAAACGGGCAAATAAATGAGTCAAGTGTTCTACCGAAGCGGGCAAATAAATAAATAAATAAACATAAAGATAGATAAGCATCGGTTGCAAGAAGTGACAGCCAAAGAGCGGTTACGAGAAGTGACAGCCGAAGAGCGGTTACAAGAAGTGGCGCCCAACGGTTATAAGAAGTTGCAGCCTAAAATAGCGGTTGCAAGAAGTGGTAGCCAAGGGCGGTTGCAAGTTGGGAGCAACCATGTGGGTAGTGGAAGGTAAAGTTGTCCCTGTGCTTAAATGATTAAGCACTGTGCCATGAAGGTGTATGGGGGAGTGGATGTATAGATCCACATTTTCTTGACCTCAGCACTACTTGGAGGTGAGTAGTCAGCTTCATGCCTCGACTGCTTTACCCTCGGAGAAAGAGCTGTCAGTGCCCATTGTATAGGAAGCTGGGTGGGCACCACATCTGGTCTGGACAACATAGAGAAGAGAAAATTTTTCTCCTTGCTGGGACTCAAATTCCAACCCCTCTGTCATCCACTATACTGACTTTGCTATCTTGGCTCCTGTGGTTAGTGAGAAGGGGTCCTAAACACAAGGTTCTTGAAGTGCTCTTCCCTACCACTTCTTGGGACCACCTAGTCACCACACAATTTTTGATCACCTTTTTACATTAACCACATGGTTATGGAAACGTGATTCAGTACCTGTTTTCACTAACCACATGGTGGCTTTGTATTGGTTAGCATCCCACTCCTCTCTGCATCCAGTCATGGCTTCAGCTCTAGCACCCAGCCTAATTTAAGAGCTATATAAGAGCTGTTAGAACTCCTCCCAAAGTCAGTAACCTTGAAGATGACAACTACAGGGTTTCCCAAAATGTTGTAAGACCCTCAAAATTTGATGTGGTCTAGTTCTGAAAGCCGAAACCATAAATAAAAAAGCAACTACTTAATAATACTTTGTTTTACCTTTAAAATATGGAAGTATAAAGTGCGAAGACAATTTTGCAAGTTCTGTGAAATCGGTAGACTCAGAAGAGAGAGCTCTGCTTGCCACCTGCTTCGTGCTGGTTTCCTGTTTGGCTTATTCTTTGACTCTAAAGATGAAGGTGACATGTTCCTTCAAGATGTTAGTTGACTTTCAGTGGACTAGTTGTTGTTCTGTCCCAGAAGGTAGAACTCTGGATCTATTATTGCTTTCACAGATGGTCAGCCAATATATGGCACCATTTATTTAAAACAAATTTGATGTTAATAATTTTAACTGATCTGATGAGTTTGATGTCATGCAGTGTAAAAACACTATAACTCTCTTACTGCAGGTGTACCATTGGCAGTCACATAATGTCAAACTCTCAGGGGTGGATGACATGGTTCTTCTGCCGAAAATATCTGAAGATGCAATTGTGGAGAACCTCAAGAAGCGGTACATGGATGACTACATATTTGTATCCTTTTAAAATATCTTTCAATTGTGTGCAGAATATAGACCGTTAGGTATTTATTACATACTGAGAAGCTTCACGCTTTTATCTTCCCTAAATAATGATAGAATTGTTAAATAATAAAGGATGTGTTATGTAGTGTGATTTAAGGAAATAGACATCAAAGGAAGAGACCACTTGGGAAACTTGAGTGTGAATTGAAGGTAATATTAAAAGGAAATAATTTACATAATGTGAACTGGATTTTATTGGCTAGGCCAGGGCTCTGTATGAGGAATTTGTGAACATTGTGATGAAACTTCTTGTTGCCTAAGGTCAACCATTGCACTGGTTAGCTATTTGATATAACAGATTTGAAGAGTATGAAGAATGCTGTATTCTGGAATGTGGCCCCATGTAGATTTTGTGTGAACCTAAGTTCCTCTGAAACGTTGGTTCACACAGTATCTACATGGCGCCACATCCCATATCATAGTCGCTGCTGTGAAAACCTCAGATATTACACAGATTTGAAGATTAACTGCAGTCAGTGGTGGATCAAAGAATCGTCAGTTGGTTTGTTGCTTTTGTATACATATTTGTTGCCATAATTAAAAATTGAATATTTGGGAGACTGAAGATGAAACACATGTGTTTGTTAACAAAATGCCAACATGGCGGATTGTGTGGAGAGCTGTATTAACCGCGCTACAGTATTAATTACTAATAATGATGAACTGAGTGAAGTAACGTGTATTTGCTGTGCAGAGCTAGAATTGGAATTGGAAAGGACTCGAATTGAACTCAGATCAACTCAAAAAATAGTTGAGTTGCTACAGGAAGAGATATATAGTATTGAATTAGAGGTTATGAACGGCACAGTTGGTTGACGTAAGAAAGACAGTGGAAGTGTCTTCCGTAATGAGGGATATAAATTGATACAAGATCAAAGTCTACGACAAAGTGAGACTACAGAAGAAGAAAAAGTTAAGTGTAATGACAATAATGTGATATATTCAAGAAAGGAACAAGATAACCAGCAGGATGAGCAGCTTCCAAATTTAAGCTTAAGATGCAGTGGTTCAATTAATAAAGATAAATGTAATTGCATAAAAGACATTTCTTCTAATGCAAATATGCGCTTGACGGTAGCAAATCGATTTTCAATTTTAGAAGAGGTTGGAACTAAGGAAGGTGATCATAGTGCACAACATGAATCAAAGTGTGATCAGGTACAATCGTTTTTTGAACCACACAGGACTCAGGATTCAGAAGGAAAATTGTTTTTTAAAATCCCAACTATAATAAACAGTATAGCTACAATGGCAATTAAAAATAACATGCCTCCACGATCTCTTAAGAAGTTCAGCAACATAAAGAAGTCTGCAAGTACAAGAATCATTAACCCAAACAGCAGAATTCAGCACAAAGTATTTATACTGGGGGACAGCCATTTTAAAGGAGGTATTGGTAAACTTAGAAGTGTACTTAGCTCAAAATTTAAAGTCTCTGGTGTAATCAGACTGGGTGCTAGTTCTGATAAAATTGTGAGCTCATCGAGTGATGAACTACGAAGTTTACACCTTCAAGATGTTTTGATCCTAAATGCTGGAGCTAATGATGTTTATAAGAACAGTAAGGAATTAGCCCTAAGTTTGTACAAAAAAATTATGGCACAAATATTATAATTCTTGATATCCCACACAGGTATGATCTTTCACATTCATCTTGCTTAAACCTTGAAATTGAGGAATTCAATAGGAAATTAAAGAAAATTGCTACCCCATACAACCATGTCGCTGTGTGTGAAACAAATGTTAAGAGAGAATGTTTCACGAGGCATGGATTACACTGGAATTCTTTGGGTAAGGATCTTGTAGTAAAACTCTTAAAGTATCAAATTAATAAAGTAATGGGTAAAGCCGTTCAAGCCCCGATCAATCTTGTCTGAAAAGATAATACCTCGGTGGTGAACAAAATTACCTGCAATGAAGGAGTGTTATCTCTATCTGATATGGTAAGTGTAAATAATGATGATAGAGCTTATTCTGTACACACTAAACAACTTGATCAGGTAAATAGAAGTGATGAAATTAATCACTGTAGAACCTCAAAGAGGCAGAGGAAGGCACCTGTAACTAGAAAGGATGATTTTTTATGGCAGACCTCTCACCGGAGGTAAACGATATTGACCCTACCAATCTGGTGTATGACCTGGGTGATGATTCCTCAATAAGTCATTCAAACAACGCTTTAATTGTAAATAGTGTTATGCATAAATCAGTTGA